TTATATGCTTACTGGTTTAGATGCAAATATAGATAAACAATATCCTTGGATTAGAGTTGTTTAGAGAGTTGTTACAGAATCATTAAGTACTTAAATGAGCAACAATTGCCTCCATTACTTGTCTTCAGTACCACCAAAAAGAAAGAAACTCAAAAGATTAGGTCTACATTACTTTCCATGGAAAAAAAAATGAAAAAATATATATCTTTTACTTTTATCTGTTTTGACCTTTTTTTATCTTTATCCACAATTTATATTACTAGGATTTTAAAGTGCTTATTTGTAATTTTTTCTGAAAATTACCAGTTAAAACAAAAGAATTTATATGAATTAACATAGTTAATCCATATCAATTATTATCTGAAATAAGTTTTTAAAACTATGAGTTTACTTAAAGTTATCAAGCTCATGATGTCAGCATTCTACAATTATTCTTATAAAAAAGAAATATTTGCTAACTACGTGTTATGAGTATACTCAATATTGGCAAATAAATGACATTTGCTTATTATGAGAATACCTGTAGTTGGCAGCAAACAGGTTAAAGTGATTTCTTCCAAATTTTAGTTTACTATAATACACTTGTAAAGTAAAAGAAAAAAATTATTTTTACAAATTTGTTAAATCGTTGTGGTTTTTAGTTAATAACCAAAAAAATGCAGTTTGGAACATTTTTTTCTTAAATGAGTAGCTTTAAAACCATAAAAACCTGAAATAAATTTAAAAACATTTCTTTTCAAAAATAACACGAAAACAAATTCATATTAATTTTTAATTAACATTATTTTTAAATAAAAAATAATTTTTATTTGTTTAAAAAACTATGAATTTTATAAATATAGTTTGTGTTTAGATGTTGCTATCTTATCACACTATAGACTAAAACAATATCAAAATATTGAAAAAAATCAAAATATAAAAATTTTGATCCTTTGAATACCTATTTATAGTTAAGGCTTAAAAAAATTTGGCTAGTATTATACAAAGAAAAAATTTTTTTTTCTTTGTATAATACTAGCTACAAGAAATGTATGTGTAATGTAGAATGCCAAGTCATGGATGCAGATGATACCATTGCTTACATTGGCAAAGATGATGCTAGAGTTATTGAAAAGTACAACAACATAGAGGAATATGATTGTGAATTATTGCATAGCCAAAAAACTTCTGCTAAAAAAAAGAGACAGGTCATTGCGCTGATTTGACAAGGTTCTAACAGACATTTTTTCCAAAATTGAAATTAAGACTTTATTGGACTATTTGTATCGTGATAATTAGAATAAACTAAAATTTATGGTGATCTAGTGTAAAATAAGCAAACTACCAATGTGACAAAGTTTTATCTGCAATTATAGTTAACCAATATTCAGTTCAACAAGGCCCCAACTAACAGGTTAGGGTAAACCCTAACTGCAGACTATTCCAAATTTTTTTCAGTTAAATATTGTCACAGAAAATTTCATGTTCATTAAAAATCACACACAAACATTGGTTTCAATATCAACGGTTAGCACTCTAGCTTGACAATAATGTAAAAAAAAAGTTGCAAAAATGCTAATATTTGCTATTTTCTAAAAAACTTATTTAAAAAGTTGCACAACAAAAAGTAGTGGTTTCTATTGGCGTTGAAATAACTATTCGAAACAAAAATAAATGGTTTTTATAAGGTAAAGTTTTTTTTTTTAATTTAATAATAACAATTCAGTTTTCTCACAAACTTAATGTCGATGTAAGTATATTTTGCCACACATATCCTTAATTGTCAGTCGATGTAAATAAGTTTAACTGTGTCTTGCCCCCAACTATCAGTCATGCATGTTTATTACTCATTGCTTGTTTCTAACGGTCATTTAATAAATGTATAATTTTGAATATAGCTGATGAACAAAATAATACAATTTTAATTTACTAAATCATATAGATTAGTAATATTAAAAAAAATTAAACAATTTGTAATAAAAGATTTATTAGCAATGCTAAAAAAGCAGGCTGTGTTATGAATAAAGATTTTTTAAATGATTTTTTAAATGATTACTGTAAATACTGTAAATTAAGATAGTAATGTTGGAAAATTGGAAATTAAATTATGTTAAAAAATGTTGCTTAAATTGGAAATTAAATAATTTTTTTATAAGAAAGTATGATTAATTTGGCAGCATATAATACAATAACCAAACAATAATACTGAGCATTATGGACTGAATCAATGGTGGACAATACAAACAAGCTTTTTCTAGCACCTTTTGCAAGATATTGGATGTGGTGGCAGATGAATAAGGAATTTAGTTACTTGATCTGATTGCTGCTTTCCTCAAAATCGGAGCAGTATAATAACAAATGTGTTACATTTTTAAAGGGAGATTCCTAGCATTAACTTAAGGGAGATTCCTAGCATTAACTTAAGGGAGATTCCTAGCATTAACTTAAGGGAGATTCCTAGCATTAACTTAAAAACTACAAAATTTTTTAAAGGGAGATTCCTAGCATTAACTTAAAAACTACAAAATACTTACTTTCAAGTCATTTATGTGTCCAGAAAAAAAATTGTGCATATTTAAATTGAAAAGCTCACAAGGATAACTGATTTTTATAGTCCACTTAGATTGATAAGGATTCTCAAACAAGTTAATGGAAAAAACCCTTATCATTACTAATATATTATTCAAATAAATCCACTACAGTGGAATTATTTGAAAACTCTAGAAGTTGATAGGCTAGTGTCGGCATTTCTTCTGTTAGGTTTTTTCATTAGATTTGACATTAGCACAAGTCATAGGTTCATTTCAATCATGGATAGATAATTGTAGCACAGCAATGTTAGAAAGAGGAACTAATTTGTACTAATGAACCTATGACTTGTGCTAATGCCAAGTTTAATGAAAAAGCCTAACAGAAAAAAATGCCAACCCTAGCACATCACTTTCTAGAGTTTTGAATGTTAAACCAAAGATTTAAACTTACACAATTTAAGGCTGTATTTTCTTTTGTGTCTCTCCAGGACTAACAAGTGGTTTTTCACCTATAAAATGATACGATGCAATGAAAAGCTTTTAATCCATAATGTAATGGTTATTAAATATAATATAATGGTAGAATCTTGTTAGATAATAAAGTAATTACCATTTATTATACCATGGTTTCAGTTACAAAATTTAAAAGTAGTTAACTACTTCAATCACAAAACTTTAAAGTTTTGTGATTGAAGAAGTTAACTAAAAGTAGTTAAAGCTAAAAGTACTGAAGTAGTTAAAGCTAAAATGTTTTTAACTACTGTTATAATTGCAGTTAAAAACTTGTCATAATGAAAATATGATTATTTCACTATGACAAGGTTCTAACTGCATTTTGGGGGTATTTATTTTTCAATAAAGAGTGAAACATTTTTTAATTACAAATAGTGATACTAAAGGCAAATGCTTATGTTAGCATGGGTGAAAAGTATTTTCAATTGATACTAATAAATTTTTATGGTAGCAACATAACAATTTTTGACATCAATTTACTCAAAACTACACACAGATCAGTTAGAACCTTGTCAGACCAATGTAAAGAGGTATTAAGAAGAACTGTATCATGTAAAATTTAGGTGCACAGTTTAGGTTTTACATAAACCTGTACTATTTTGAATATATTAAAGCAATTTTTAAAACTTTTAACATGAATTTGATTTTTAATTAATTATGTACACATTTCTTTCTGTTTTAATTTTGTAGCTCAAAAAAGAACTTTTAATTATTATAAAAGTGTTCTAAAAAGACTTTGAAAATAAATAATATACAAGGGTACATAAGGTACATGCTCTAAGACTTTACAACCTAATAGTTTTTTGTTTTTTTTGTATTTCATCAGAAAACTCTTTTTTTTACAGGATGCCTAGGCAGAAATTATGTGTTTTAGACAAGTACCCAGGAAGTTTTTAGTTTGCTAGATAAGTAAGTAAATAAGAGACATGTGGCATATTTAAATTTTATAATTTTGACAGGTGTCAATTGAGAAAGACAAATAAAAAGTTTAGATAATTAGAGCTCATTCAACCCTTACTTCTTTTATAATTAGAGTTCATTCAAAGCCTTACTTCCCCCTTCAATCAGATTGCAAAATCATTCAAAAACCTTCTAACACATCAACAGATTTCAAATGTTTTGGATATCTTTAGGTATCCAAAGCAATTGAAATCTTAGGTATTAAATTACTTCTATAAAACATTTTAGTTATTAGATTATTTGGATAGTTTAATACATAAAATTTTTTTTAGATAACTAGATTGCAATATATACCATTCATTTTTTATGCATGTATATGTGTATTGCAATGTTTATTTCCAATCAGGTGTAGATGTAGAGCAGAGATTCCTTTAAAATTATACTTACTCTATTAATCACTCTAAAATTATGCTAAAAAAATAAATAAAATCCCAAATAAATTGAGCAAGTGTGACAAATATATGTTTAAAGAATTCAAAGATGGGTACTCCATAAAAAATTTCAATGATTCGAATGTCCACAAAACTATTAGATTGATTATTTTGCTTTCATTGAACGAAAAAAACTTCAATAAACATAAACTTTGGATAACTTTGGATGAATTGAAGCATTTCTTCCTTAGGTAGCACTTACACAGAATCTAAAGATCTAAAGGTTTTGGTCCAAATAGTTAGAAAACTAACTGCAACATCAAAGCACACTTAATGAATAATACAAGTCGCCTAACGAATAGCAAACTTGCTTAACAAATAGCATTAGGCAAATAATACTATTCAATAAAACAATCATACTATTTCTCAAGAAAATCGTACTATTCGTTAAAATAAATTACTTGCTTAATAAATAGTAGTGTTTATTAAGCGAATAGTAATATTTGCTTAAACAAAACATAAAATTAAAAAAAAAAAACTATAAAAATCAAAAGACTGAAATATTTTAATAGTTATTTTATTTAGTTTTATTTAGTTGAACATGTTTATAAGAGACTATATAAAACAAAAAAAAAATCATTCTCACAATAATATCATTAAACAGCTTGTTATCTTTGTATGGTAAGTATTCACCATTTACTTCATAATAGATACAAAACTCCAATAATTGATCAATAGTATCAAACATTAGCCCAGTAATTAAATTTGATGCATTGAAGTTCATTATCAAAGAATCATTTTTTGAAAATATTAATGATTCAATGGTTGGCTTTTCTAAAAAAAAATATATAGTTGTTTTAGAAACAGGTTAAAAAAATAATGGTGACAGAGTGGGAAAATATTAGAAAATATCTGTTAAAAAATGATTTGAAGATATTTTCAGTTCTATATTTTTGTGTTTTAATTTTCTTATAGAGTTAATTAGTTTTTTGTAATTACTTTTAAATCTACTTTCGTATTAAATATAACACTTAAAATAAAAACTTAAAACTTTTTTAAATATAATTTCAATTTGCTTATCTTTTTTACTTTTGTACTCTAGTTTTGTACTTACATTTGTACTTAGGTGTAATCAAAGATAATTGTTATTATATATAGTTTTGTTATTATATATAGTTTTGTTTAAAAGTAGTTTAACTTAGTAATAATTTATTGCTTCTCATCAATAAATATTACATTTCAAATTTCTCATCAATAAATATTACATTTCAAATTTCTCATCAATAAATATTACATTTCAAATTTCTTATCAATAAATGTTACATTTTAAATTTGTGCAACCCAAACAACAACATAACAAGCAAAATAATGATCAACAACCGCCTGAAATGATCAAAATGTTTTGATCTCCCAAATTGAGTTCTTGTTGGTTAAACAAATCTTAGATTTAAAAAATATGCAACCTTTTAAAGAAATTTACAAACCCTTTGAATTGTTTTTTTGTTTTTTTCTCATTCAATTTTTTTTTTAATAAAATCTTTTAAAAAACCTTTTATAATTTTATAATTGCTTAGAATTTGCTATCATTCCTGAAGTCATTGCAATTAATGAACGCAATTATTCTACTTAGCAATTTAAATAACTATAGTTATGATTAGGACATTTCTTTATTGAGTTATTAAGAAATTGATTAGCATTAGTAACTTTTCATGCGTTGTAAAGCATTAGGGGTAAAAAATTACATAAATTTTTTTTAATTAAAATTTTCTTGTAAAAATTCAATACTATATAAAAAATTTAAACAAGTTAACTAAAAGTTATGCTTTCAAAAATATTAAACATCTAAAGTTACTCTGATATTGACCTCCCTTATTAATCAAAACGCTGTTTTTAGTCAGCACATGTGAGCCATTTGAGCATAACGTTATTTCAACCTGTTAATTGGAGCATTAGTTATTTACTGTAAAACTTTGTTGTGGATTTTAATTAAAAAAAAAGCAATGATTTGATTTAAAATCATGTCAAAAATTTTTATAGCAAAATACAAATGATTCAATGATTGACCTTTTCTGAAAATGAAAAAATATAGTTGTTTCAAAAACAGAACTTGTTTAAAAAACAGGGGTTACATTTTGGGAAAGTTATTAAAAATTATCTAAATTTTCCTTTTAGATTAATGAATTTTTTTTTTAATTATTTTTGTTTTTAATTTATTATATTTATATAAAAACTTAAACTTTCACTTTACATAACTTTTCTATTTTTGTATTTTACTTTTGTAATTTAGGTATATTATAAATAATTGTTATTAAAAAATATAAGTTTTTCTACTTTGTATTATTTAAGTAGGTTTGCTTTAAATTAGTTTAACTTAGTTTAATAATTTATTAGTTTATGAATTTATCGATTCTTAACAATAAATATTGCATTGCAATAATACAGATTTGAGTAACCCAGCATAAAACTTGATAATATTTGGCATTATAGCTGCTATCTTAAAAGTAAATTGCTTTAAATTTTAAAAAGTACTAAGAAAGTAAACTTTAATGCAAAGTATAAAAAGACATAAAAATTACAGAAAAAATGAAATTTATTATTATAAATTACATATTTTTGTGTTAATAATACAATAATACAGTTTAAAATCTTTTTAAGTGTGCTGACAGATAATAAAAAACTTACTATATTGGTATTCAATAGATTCAATAAATCTGAAATCCATTTTAAAATTCATAAGTGAATCTCCTGAATCAATATTTATTCTAATTTCTGATGCCATAAAGGGATTTGTCAAAGTATAGCAAAACCACTTTGAACTGATATAATTACTTGCAAAAACCTTTAAAATAGAAGCTAATGTATTTATATTATATATTATATATACATACTTAAATATATATATATATATATATATATATATATATATATATATATATATATATATATATATAATTTGAAATGTGTTAACAGCCAATAAATTTAAAGTAGTGGTCATACAAATAAACAATGCATATAAAATATTTATTTCTTTTATTGTTACTATTAAGTAAAATACATTTAATTTAAATTTGATATTTTTTAGCACTAGAGGTCTTTCAAAAAATCATCAGTAGTGCTATTTATGTTATCAAAATAAAATTTTCTTGTTTTTAAACAGGAAATGATAATTATCCATACTTTAATCTCTATAACTATTGCAGTCAATTTTTTATTTAATTTTAAACAGGAAATGTCCATTAAAAATGTCATGTTTTTGTTTGTGAAGATTTTCATAGGAAATTAAATTTTTTTCATTTTTGAATTCCAAAAAAACAAAAAGTTGGAAGAAAGGTTCTATAATTGCATTATGTGCACATTAGCAATTATAGATTAAGTAAAAGATTATTTTCAGTTATGAAAGGTTGACAATTCAAGTTGCTATAAAAAGTAGTAATTAAGGGAAAGATTTCTTTAGGTTGATTTTGGGGAGCTGGTCCTTGGAGTTTTGCATCGTGAAAAGCTTTTTCTATAATATTATCAGGATATTCATTCTTTTAGCCATGTTTTTAGTTCTGTTAATCATTGTTTTTTCTTTTTCGTAATCAGATGTGAAAACAATTCTTTTAGTCATATTGAAAAGGATATTCTTTTTTATGTGATAAGGGTGATGACTTTTATAATTTAGGTAATCATGAGTATTAGTTTCTTTATAATATATGTCTGTTTTTATTTTATTGCTATTTTCAAAAATAATAGATGTCTAAAATTAACACACACACACACACACACACACACACATATACTTATAAATGTGTGTGTATGTATTAAAAATAACTTTCAGATTTTTTTAACATAAAAAAGAAACTCCTGGCTACATTAACATAAAAAAGAAACTATTGCTAAATTAACATAGAAAAGAAACTATTTCTAAATTAACATAAAAATGAAACTTCTGCTAAATTAACATAAAAATTAAACTCCTGCTAAATTAACATAAAAAAGAAACTCCTGCTAAATAAAAATAAAAAAAGCTCTTAAAGCAATCAAAAAAATGCATAGAAAATATGGAAACATTTTATATTTAGTATAAAGATAAATAAATAGTAATTTGACTTATATTTGCAATTGAAAATTAATTTTTATTTGACTATATGTAAATGAAACCATTTAATTATTGTTGGATGATGTGTACTTTACTGGGAGATTTTCTGGGAGAGTTTGCATGCTTTTATTTTTATATTGCTAATGTAATCATTACTTAATTTGAGAATTTTAAATTTTCTAACAATTTTTTTCCTAAATTGTTCTAATTAAATAAATTAAAATTTTTAAATTGTATTTTAAATTGTTCTAAATTGTTCTAATTAAATAAATTAAAGATTTTTAAAATTAATAATTTTGACTTTGTTGTTCTTTTAAACAAATTTTTATTAGAATAGTAGTTAAATGTTGAACTAATATAACTTATCAAAAACTGTATTTTAAATTATTCTACTCAAACCAGCATTATTAAAAATAAACCTTAAAATATATTCAGTTTTTAATATTAATCAATTAGAAAATAGATCAAATAGAAAAAAAATATAGTTTTAAAGTATTTCATTATTGAACCAACAAATCAAAAAAAAAAGTTAACTAAAAAATCTGCAACAGCAAAGTTTCAAGAGAATATAAAGACCTAAAAAAAAAAATGGACTCACAACTAAAGAACCATGGTCGTGATAATTTTATTCCAATAATAAATCAACTCATATCTAAAAAGCCATGGTCCTGAAAATGTTATTCCATAAAATATAAGGAAATAAAGTATTGACTTTAAACAAAGAAACATAAGTTTTTTATCTTCAACGCACATTATAAAAAAACAAAGAAAGAACATGTTACAATCTACAATTCCAAAATGGATTCAGGCTTCTTCAAAAATTGACATGTGAAAAATTTGGGAAAAACCTTTTTAAAGTCAATATTTAAAAAGATGTTTAATGAATTCCAACAGTGTCTCTAATAAATGATACCAGCTTTTTAGGCACCATACTTTCGTTGCATTAATTTAAATTAAAACGGTACAAGCAAAAAATACTACTGGATTCAACATAAGAAAAAATAAAAATTGGTATCAAAAAAAGGTTACTTCAATAGGAATCTGAATTTGCATCAGTCTGGCTTAATATTTGGTTTTACCACAGGTGTTTGGGAATAATGATTCACTCTTATTTTTAAAGACTGAAAAAATATAAAGTTCTGTTTTGTTTCTTAATTAAAATAAACAATACTTTTGGTGCCATAATAGATAAACTGACTGTAAATTAGGCAATTTTTTCTTATGAACCATACTCTACTCTTTTCTACAATGAACTCCATTAAAATATATAATATAAATAAATATAAAATAGCAGAAAATTCAAATGAATAAATAAGAAAGATTTGGATTTAAAGTTGATTTGCAATTTCGTGTAAGGCAACCTACTACTTTCGTGTAAGGCAACCTACTACTTAATAAAGAAAAATTTACAACTGAAACCAGTAATTGCTGCCATCTTAATCAAATTTTCTTCTGTGGAAATTGAATTTTCTGTCTTCTTTCTGAGATTTTGAAAAAAAAAATTTATTCATAAAACCTTCGAATGTTAAACTCGATATTAAAAACTGTTTACATATATCATTTTTTATGTTTATTGTAAAAAAAAAAACTACAAAGAAAAAGTTACTGGATTAAGGAAACAATTACTGATGCACTTTTTCCTTACACTTGTTTAAACTTGAGTAAATGTGCTAGGCTATTTTGCTTAAATTTGTATAAAATCAACTACTCGACCAATAGTCATTACATTTATTAGCAAACCCCATAACATTTATAGATTTTTTTATTTGTCATCAGTTGGACAGGCAACTCTCAAAAAAAAATTTCAAAGAAAACCACTTTGTTTTCCAATTCAAATTTCTTTACCAGCACTTTTAATTTATAGATAGATTGAAAGAAACATGGTTTAATAAAACTTACTTTAATTAGGGGGCGCAGAGAAAAAAACTGTGTGAAAGTGCCAGCAACTTGTCTAACTGAAACGTGAGTGTAACTATTTACAAAGGTTACTCTTTTAAATCAAAAGTCTCTAGCATATTAAGTACAGAAAAACTTTACTTAATAGATAAAAGATTGATAAATAAAGTTGTTGGTGATCACCAATTTTTCACTGTAGCAGAGATATAAGCTGCTGAATCTTACTTAATGTCCTCTGAAGAAAGCATGATATATATATATATATATATATATATATATATATATATATATATATATATATATATATATGTATACTATATATATATATATATATATATATATATATATATATATATATATATATATATATATATATATATATATATATATATATATATATATATATATATATATATATATATAGATAGATAGATAGATAGATAGATAGATAGATAGATAGATAGATAGATAGATATAGATATATATTTAAAACCACTTTTTAAGTGTACTTTGTAACTTTTTATGGAAAACAATATTAGGTAATAGTTGTATTATTGTTCCTAAATAAACTGATAAATTTAAAAGATTTAGAATTTAAGACACTTTTAAACCATAAAAAAAGCATAAACTAACATATATTACCCTCATTTCATCATTTTCTTTGTATATAATAAAATTTCTGGTTTCATTTATTCGAAAAGATAAAGATATTCCTTTGATGAAATTGAAATCATTTTCGTTGCTTGACATAACAATAAATTGATGAACTAATTGAACTTTACTTAATTTTATTGTAAACCATGCAACTTGAAATCCATCAAATTCTGTATTGAATGAATTTATAGGTTGAATGTTGGTAGTAGTAAGATTTAATATTTGAGGAACAGTGTTGAAGTTAACATTTAAATTGTTGGAGAAGAATGATGCCTCATAAATTGAATACATGCTTGAAGCTGGGGGATTAAAATATGCTAAAGAAAAAATATATATGTATAAATGTGCATATATGTAAATATATATACACATCTATGTAAATAAAAGATTAATCTTTGTATAAATAAAAAATTAGAAAAAAGAAATTAAAACAGTCAAATATAATATTATGAAAAACAACTGACAGTAATAAAGTTGTACAAATTGTAGAAGCTACTGACCAAGGATAGTCTCACAGAAGCATTGAAAATGATAAAACTCAATTATTTGTTGATAGGTTGAAGAATACAAATACATTAGTAAAATAAAAAACTTTGCTGGATTAGGGTCAAAACATCTTACATCAAAAACAAAATGGCTGCATTCTTAATGAAGTCAAAAAGAATAGTGATTTGTCTGTTGCAATATATAACTGGTTAAAACTGAGTCTTATTTCCAAATATACAATATTTTTTTAAACAAAAGCAAAACTAATAAAAGAAAATAAATTTAAAAAAAAAACATTTTATGTTGCATTTTTTTTTAAATTTAAGGTGGCTTTTTTTTGCACCACATTGTATACTATAGAAACACACTGCTAAATGTTTCGCCACCTTTTAGAATTTTTTATTTTAAACAATATGAAGATAACTTGACTTAAAATATTCACCTGTCTTGAGGCTCTTTGTTGAGATCTATATACAAAAAAATTTATCATGGGTAGATGTTAACTGCATCCAATTAATGTCTTGTAAAGAGCCTCCCAGGCAAAACTTTAAGAATTTTGTGCGGCCTTGTACACCTCATTCATTTAATAGGCTGGCGTATATGTAAACCATTTTACATTAACTTTTGCTTATGATAAAAAAAATAAGCTGATTAACAGTTGTAAAATATTAAACTAACAGCAATGTCATGTTAATGTTGATTAGCACAGTGTGGATATTAGTAATTTTGATGTGCATGGTTGATACCTCATGTAAATTCATTTGGTTCAATTCTAGGTTGTATGGCAAAAATAAAACAGTAGCAAAACTTAATGCTTATGGTCCTATACTATCAAAGCTTCTTTTAAGTTTTTATTTTGACTTGTTTATATTTATAATTAAATAAATATAAATAAGTCTCTTTATCAAGCTCGACACTTTCAAATCCAGCCTTGTATGGAATACTGTTGCCATATCTGGGGTGGATCTTCAAATGATGCTCTTTCTCTTTTAGACAAGGTGCAAAAATGCATTGTAAACATTGTTGGACCTGCTCTTGCAGCCAACTTTCAACCTCTGTCACATCGTCGTAATGTTGCTTCTCTTTCTCTTTTCTACAAATACTATAATGGGCACTGCTCTAAAGAGCTAGCGTCTCTTGTGCCATCTACTAAAATTCATTCTCGTGTTACTCGTCATTCAATTAAGTCTCATCCTTTTTCTGTTACTGTTCCTAAGTGCTCCAAAAACTCCTATTCGTCTAGTTTTTTTCCTCGAATATCTGTTCTTTGGAATTCGCTTCCTTCATCTTGCTTTCCTGATTCATATAATTTGCAGTCTTTTAAGTTGTCTGTCAACCGTTATCTTGCTCTACAATTTTCATCTTTTCTCTTCCAGTAACTTCCAACACTAATTAGTGGTTAGTTGCAGCCTTGTTGGAAGCGAAGATGTTTAAAAAAAAAAAGTAATAAAAAACTGACATTAAAAAAAATTTAGGAACAAATATTTAGTAATCTATCTTTTACCAAAATCACCAAAGACAAGCTTAACACCCCATTTGATACAAACTTCTACTTCTCTGATAAAGCAATACTATTTTCAAAATATTTTCCTTTAATTTACGTCCTTAGTTGTATAACGATATTTTTCCTGGCATCACAGAGAAACAGCCTTATCAGTTGTAAGCCATCAAAATTACTTTTTTATATTTTCTAATAGTTCGAATAATAAAAATAAGGAGTCCTAACAATATTTATCATAAATTTACAAAAGTTTCAACAAGTCTTCAATTTAACTTTTATTATTGCATGCTGGAATGTAGCAAATACAAGTGATCATAATTTGCTGATGAAATTTCTGTATTTTGCAGTTTTGATAAAAAGTAATGACAAATAGCCAATCTTGAATATGATTTTTTTTGTGACAGATTATGCTGGCTTGCAGTGGCTGTTGAATTTAACCCAAACAGAACTCAGTTGTTCATCGCTGATAATAATCTCAATACTTTTGATATTATTATACTGATAAAAAGCAACATTCTTCTATTTATTTTCTTTTTGGATTAGTTTTTGCATGTCGTTGGTCTTGCAGTAAACATGAAAGTATATATAAAATAAAAAAAGAGGTGCAATCCTACATATGCAATACGCTCAAAAGAGAGGATATAGAGAAGACGAGCGAACCAGATTTTATTAAAAGCTTTTGATATGTCAAAAGTTTTGACATATCAAAAGCTTTTAATAAAAACTGGTTTGCTCGTCTTCTCTATATCCTCTCTTTTGAGCGTATTTCATATGTAAGATTGCAGACTCAAAAGATTTTGACTCAAAAGCACTTTAAGATTTTGACTCAAAAGCAATATTATTTGACTCACCACTTGATCTAATGCATAAACCTGTTACTATTGTTAACAAATCAGCATTAGAACAATAGGATTTATATTCTTATCTACATAGAGTAAGATGATAAACAGGATATTATCCTACCCTTTAAAGATCACTTTAAGTATTACCCGTGTTTTTTTCTTCTTATTAAGAAGAAAAAAAGACGGGTAAGAATTTTAGTCAAAGTGATCTTTAAAAGTTGAAAAAATAGAGCCACTGATGCTCAAAAAACTTTTATCCATCTAGTTTTTTTCCCTAAGACATCAATGCTTTAATACTCTCTTCAGTCTTTATGTGATCCTGACTCAAATAGTTTACTTTTTTTTTAGTTTTTTTTTTTGCTCGTACAGTATTTTTTTTTGCTTTTTTTTCTTGTCAACTGTTCTTTTCTCTTTAACTGTCGTATTTACACTCTAATAAATCCTGATTTAATTATTGATTGGCTGTATTTTTTTTTTCTTAAAAATAAAAAAAACATTGTTGCTTTTGACAACGTTTTTTATAAAATTTAAGATTTGACGCTAATTTGATTTGACGGTTCTAGGAAAAAAGTTTCTGAAAAAAAATACTGTAACCGTCAAAACAAATTAGCGTCAAATTTTAAATTTTATTAAAAACTTGCTTAAAAAAATAAATTTATAAACGAATTTTTATATGTTATTAAATCACAAATTTTGTAATAAATTAAATAAACATTCTGCGCTGTATGCGTCTGTAAAAAAACAAAAAAAAAAGACCTAGAAAGTAGGGGGTCTCGAACCACAGACATTCCGTCTACGAAGTCAACGCCTTACCCAAATACGCTAAATGCGCTTAATATGAAAACAATCAATATACTTATTTAAAAAACTATTATTCATTTTGCATACAACAAATAAACTTAATTAAAATTAACTAAATATTTGGCTTATTACAAAACTAATTATTGAATATTGTATTGTAATCAAACAAGAATATGTAGGCAAAATTTGAAGAAAATCTATCATCAGGAAGTGACTCAAAAATTGATTGCAAGATTTGATGTTCGCAGACAAACAAAGAGACAGAGACAACGAGTTAATAAAAGCATTGGTAAAAATTTACCAAGAAAATCTTTACTAAGAAAAATTCCTCCACCCGACCCACTTAAACTTTATCAAATTATTAGGTAATTTATTAACTTTAAAGCACGGATTAAAATCGATGCTAAGTAGGTAAATAGTGACAGTTTTTAAGTTTTTTCTGGTACCACTGACTGAAAACATAGTTTTTTATATTTGCATTTTTTATATTGCTAAGTATGACCATGAAGTTACGCATAATTTGATAAATAAAATTAATGGCTAATCTTACTTTTTGTTTGGTTTCTGTCTATCCCCATTGATCCCATATCGGGTAAATAGAGCACTAAAAACAAAGATGGCTCTTTGTTTTTATAACAAAGATGACTCTTTGTTTTTAGTGCTCTATAGGATAAGAGAGCAAAACAAACAACGAAGCGTTTATATTCTCGTAAAAAAAATTTAGCGGAAAAATCCATACAAAATCATTTGAAACAATAATTGATAGTCTATCTAAACAGCAATCAAATGCCAGTGTCGCTACTAAATACAGAGAAACTGAAACAGTTGACTTATTAATGTCTCTATTTTAACTAATGTTTTTAGTAAACTGTGCTTAAATGTCACAATGAAAATGTTTTTAGTAAACTGTGCTGTCTTTAATGGCATAATTGAAAACTTTGAAAAAAAGGAAAGAATTAGTATTATCTATGAGTGTGCTATGAGTGTGCTATGTTAATATGGTTATAGTTCATCTTTTCATACCTTTCCTGTGTGTAATAAGAATGGGTATGACGTAATAAAAATGGGTATGACGTAAATCTACGCATTACATATGCAATGCGCCTTATTTGTTCATGTTATATCAATCTTTGATAGTTCGCAACAATGATAAATATGCTTAAACCAATGGTTATATCTGAATCAAAAGGTTCTGATATAAAAGTAGAGCTTCTTCATTGTGTTGGTAGGAAATTGACTTCGTAACCAATGCAAAAAGGTTAAATGCATTAGCGGTAAATAGGAACTTACGTTGAAAATGATAAATCGTTGGCAAAACTACTATGGTATTGCCATAAGAAAAATAGAGGTAATATAGAGAAAAATAGAGGTAAATAGAGCATAAAATTTTTTTTAATTTTTTTGCTAGTCCGTTCCATATAGCATCATCCAAAACAAACCAGTGGCATGATAATTGCCCAATAGCCAAAAATAACCAGTGCTTGTTTCAGCGAGGTAAGTTGAACAAAACAACAATAGACAAACCAGGTTTTTGATTACGTTAGTCAAAAATATGTCATGTAAAAGATATTTACAAAGATCTTATTGATAACAGTCTTTAATTAATGTGTTTCCATTTAAAAGCGTTTCTCTAACAGTCAATGTTTTGGTTTTAAAAAGTTAAAATTCGGAGTTTTTGGTGCTGTATCCAGTTTTAAACTTTGTAGTAAAGCATTTCTACAAATTATAGAGGTATTAAGCTTGAACCCTAACAATTATAACAACAAACGGCAAAAATATATCAATACTAACAAATACAGACTTCGTCATGGTAAAGTTAATTACATCTTCTTAGTTTAAGTTGTAGACCTTGCTTTAATGAATCATAAATCAAAGTTTTAAATAACAATTCTGAAAATATCATATATTAAAAACTAGCCATTGATTCTCAATTGCCGTCATTTTAGTTGTTTGCTATGATTTTTTTTTTTTTTATAAACTCGCATTAGTTTTACAAGATCTTTTTAACAATACCGTTAGCATTGACAAATTTAATGCTCTAAAAATGTTAATTTTTTTTTATACAAGAACTTTTGTTTTCATACATGTACTTGTTACAATTTTTCACAACTCATGTTATGAAAAATAATTTAGGAAAAAAATTTAGTAGCGAAATAGATTCGGACTAGTGCTACTAATTTTATATATATATATATATATATATATATATATATATATATATATATATATATATATATATATATATATATATATATATATATATATATATATATATATATATATATATATATATATATATATATATATTATTGCATTGTTTATTTATTTATATATCATTATTCATTTATTATTTTCATCTAATTTATATATTTCTTCATAAAATAAAAAACAAGCAATTCAAAAAAAAAAATTATTTTACTTACAAGGTTTTTTTAATTCTTCGGTGTATACAATGAAGTAAAGAAGCATCTGATTAACTTCAGCTGACAACTTAATATATTTTGTAATAGTACTATTGAATCCAACATTTATTTCATAGTATTTATTACTTTGATATTTTGTTTCAAAACAGATATCCTTTTTATATGAGGATAAACAATGTGCACCTATGCCAGAACTTAATATCAAATCAAAATTGTAATTACTATCTTTGACAGCCAAAGTAACATTAACAACGTTAACTTCTTCTGCTAAATTGAATAACCATACATCGTTTTCATTTAATGTCACGTTGCTTTTATAAAAGAGTTGATTTTGTAATTTAAAGGGATATGTTCGCATATTATACGAAGTATTAGTTGTAAATGAATTTGTTTTTACCAGTTCTAAAAGAAAACAAGAAAAACATTAAGGATTTTGCGTGTGCAAATTATGTTTATATCTTATTGTCTGGGATGCGGATTCCCAAAACAGGTTAAGAGTTTGAAAGTCATAAAACGATTAATTTAATTTTTGGTATTCATGAGTTCTTAAACTAGGTGCAAGAAATTAGAAGAAAATAAAAATCTAAAGCCAGAGCCTTTTTGGGATTCCGCATTCCTGCTAATTGCGTAACTAATAATTTTTTTTATGTTGTAAAATGAGCAAAGTATTTCACTTTTAAATGATATACAGATTTAAAAGACCATAAATTTTAGCTTACAATATCATATCAGCAGTAAAAAGTATTAATTTTTCAACAATTTTGTTTTTTTGACATGTATGGAGACAAAAAACTTAACATTCAAATTCACTTTTTAATTTAAAGTCTGTTTATGATTTTTTTTTTATTATTTTCCTTGCACTAACAGACGCCACCTTTTACAAATTACAAAATTAGGCCTGTGTCTCTATATTCAATCACCTCTATTCAATCACCTTGCGCAAAACACTTTTTAAAATTTAACCTAAAAAGGTAAGGTAAATCAATTAATCTTTAAAAAGATTTTAAGTCAAAGTGTTGCGACTGCCATAAAAGTCTAAATAAAAAATTATGCAACTCTTAAGGAATTTAACAATGGAACATTACTTAAATTACTAAACCTTTAAAAAATTATGCAACTCTTTAAGAAATTAACATTGATGCACTACTTAAATTACTACACTTTTTAAAAATTATGCAATTCTTTACGAATTAAACATTGGTACACTACTTAAAAAACAACACCTTTAAAAAACACTTTTTATCTAATAAGAAACCCGAGTAACATCAAAAAACTAAATTTTTTCGATTAAAAATGCTAAAAAAAAAGTATTTATAATGAAATTTTTTTCAAACAACTTACGGAACGTAAAAAAAAAACTGTCTAAAAAAGTTTGTTACATAATATCTTTGTTATATTCATTTTCTCTCGATTAAACTTAGATTAGTACATTATAATGTCTAATTCCGGTAAACATATTTAAAAATTTATACAAAATTTAATCACAAATGATTGCAAAATTGCTTGAAATACTTGAAGCTAACAAATGAACTAGTTTCTATATTAAGAAGGATTGACAGAAACATTTAAAATTCCATCTGTTAACTAAATTTCTATAGCATATTTTGACTATTTGTTTGTTACTGAAATTTTTACCCTAAAATTTTCATTAACAAATAAATAGTCAAAATACATATAATATGTTTCAAATTTACCCAGGTATTATAAAACTAAAAATTGCAAAAAAAGTGAGTAAAATTATATTTAATGTCCACCAGAAACGTATGACTGGTTTGTTTTATTTGAGTTTTATTTTGAGTTTATATATCATAAAACCCTTTGGCTACTAATCTTAACTTTTTACTTTAGCATAAATTTTGGGGTTAAACAAAAGTTCTAGTTTTTTTAGCTTTTAAGATTGTTGTTATGAACAACAACTTTTGATAACCTTTAAAAAATCTAACTTTAAAATGCTAATAAAAACGGATAAAACAGAAAAAATTAAGTTAAAAACTATTTTCTTCAAAAATTAGGATTTTTTTTATTAAATTACTATATATACAACTTTTTATGCACTGAACAACATGGGCAATAAAATTATTTTGCGGAAGGTGATTTAATAAAAAAAATAAACTCAGTTTCTACACAACACGTAGATATGGTTAACTATTAAATATATCATATACATGTATATTTCACAATCGGGTATCCAGATATTTGAGCAATAATAAGAAATTCAAAATTTATAGAAAATGGTTTCGAAAAAAATTAAATATTCAAAAAATCAAAAATACACTTTGAAATTACTTATATTTTCTTATCTTTTTAGTTTTCATACTTGTCCATAAAACAAAATTATTGAACCTCTAATTGGCAGCCTTTATATTTAAGGTTTTATATTGGCAGGTTCATATTTAAGTTTAAACTTAGTCAAAAATATTCTGCTTCTTTAATTCTGATTTCTTAAATATGCATTTCTTTTTAACATAAAAATTATTAATGATAATTTTTAACATAAGACATGTACGGAAAAATTAGGCCTTTTCAGAAACGGCTTATTGAGACTATGTCATATTATTATAGGAGATAAGTCGTGGTTTTATTTAAATTGGACATAACTCTAGTTGGATCGGGGAAGGTGAAAGTCTGGAAACTATTGTAAGATGCGGCAGTTTTGAGCCAAAAAACATGTTCTACATCTTCTTCAAAACAACAGGTGATGTTCATTTGGGTCTTGTTGGAAAGAGAGACACCATTACTAGTCAATATTATATAAGAATTTGTTATAACTTCTAATATGCGAAATAAATAAGCAAAGACCTAATCAGGCACTCAAAATTTTAAATTTCTCCATGTTATTGTTCGACCCTATGTAACTTAAACCGTTAAAAATCGTCTTAACCAAGCTGGAATTACAATAATTCGCCACCCACCATACTCAACAGACTTACCTCCATCCAATTATTGGCTTTTCGACTTGATAAAAAAAATTTTGATGACGATACTGACATCGAGTCAGTATCGTCATGAAAAGAAGTCAAAAAAACTGCATAACGAACTTCAAAGTATACTCAAATAAGAGTATAAAAAAAGTCTGATAAATGACTTAAAAGAAATATTTGTATAGTTGATGATGGAAATTATTTTGAACATTTAACAAAATAAAAATTGACGATAATGAAGAAGACACTAAGTCTTATCGAAACAAAACATTTTATTCATAAATCTCATAAACACTGTCATTAACGTTTTGAAAAAAAATTTATTAACTTTAAATAAAAACTTTAAAAAAAAATTAATTAACTTTATTTGCTAAGATTTAACAACTTTCAAGTTTTAAATCTCAACGCAAATCAAAACCTGTATATATATCAAATAAATACGGCCCTGGTCACTCCTACTCTCAAGAAAGGAAAACAAGCTCAAGATTTATAACTACAAGTTGAGGTCTCTAACCTACAAGGTAAGAGACACCTGCTTGTCTTTCCTGTGCAAGATGACGGAGAGAACTATCATTTATGGGATTTATGAAATACTGTACATTATCTAATATCAATGTCTCAACATGGGTTAAGTTGACACAACTGACACAATGTATTTGTTAAAGCTTTTAACAAACTTCTATATAAGACTCAAGTCAATGACATTTGAGGTCAGCTATTAAATTGGAATCCTAGTTGGCTAGCTATGGGACAATAATAAGTAATAATTAGAGAATAAACGTCCGATTGGAAAAGGGTGATGAGTGGCATTCCTCAATGATCATTTCATGCATCACTATTATTTGTGCTCTTCATTAATGACTTACTCGACTGCGTTTATAACCATACCAAATTATACGCCGATTATGACATACGAGTCATCGATGTCAAAGAATTTTCCTTTGACTATAAAAAACTAAAAACGGACAGCAACGATGCTGAAAATTGGTCCCACAACTGCCTTGTGAACTTCAACATCGAAAAGTGCAAAGTAATGCAAGTTGTCGCAAAAACTTATGAGTAATACCATTATTAACACAGACGGTAACAGAAGCAATCTTGTTCTAACATGCATCGTGCGTGACCTTTGAGTATTACTAATTAACAACCTTAAACCACAAATAGAAGCAGCAGCTTGGGTTGGAAATAAAATGCTTGGTTGTCTCAATAAGTCATTTTGGTGTCAGAGCTCTCTAGCAATTGAAAAAACTGTACCAGTTATACATTAAACTGCACATAAAGTTTTGTATTTATAAAATTCTCTACTAAAACTGGTCCAACAACGTGGAATAGTGTTAATGAAACATTTAAGTTCAAAATGTTTAAAAATTAAAACTTACTAGATAAAATTATCCAATAAAGCTTATAGCAATACCCCATTATTTTATCCAACAATGCATTATTTTATCCAACAATGCATTATTTTATCCAACAATGCATTATTTTATCCAACTATGCATTATTTTAACCAATAATGGCTATAGCATTTTTAAAAATTTGTGTCTTAGCCGTTCTTTATTTAAAGAAAGCACACACAAGTGATAATATTGCATTTATAAAAAAATCGTGTGCGTTTTATTCATCTTTTTAATAACTACAATAACCCGGTGGGAAGCGAGCTAGCGATTAGCTAGCGACTAGCTAGCTTTATAGCGATTTTTGAGCGATTTTTTTTTTCTTATTTAATTTTTTCCTTAAGTCTTTAACATCATTGAAAATTCAATTTTTAGTGTTGGATCTATTATAATTATGAAAATAATTGAACTTTAAACATTGCGATATTGTAACGATATATCGCTAGCTATATATCACAGTTTTTTAGTCAGCGATTTTATTACGATATGACACTAGCTACATATCGCATTTGTTTAGCTGGCAACTAGATAGCGATATATCTATAGCTATTCGATAACTACATATCGCAGCTTCTTAGCTATCGATTTAATTACGATTAATCGCTAGTTACGTATCGTAGCTTTGTAGCTAGTTACTAGACTAGTTGTTAGCCACATATCGCAGTTTTTAGATAGCGATTTTATTACGATTTATCACTAGTTACATATTATAGCTTTGTAGCTAGCTACAAGTTAGCCACAAATCGATAGCTACTTGCTAGCTATATAATGCAGTTTTATTGACAACGATTTTATTACGATTTATCGCTAGTTACATATTGTAACTTTGTAGCTAGCTACAAGGTAGTCACAAATCGATAGCTACTTGCTAGCTATATAATGCAGTTTTATTGACAACGATTTTGTTTCGATTTATCGCTAGTTTTATATTTGTAAGCCTTTTTAGCTAGCTACAAGGTCGCCATAAGTAATGGTAATAATAATTGAACTTTAAAAGTAAGGATTTTATTACGATATGTCGACAGCTACATATCGCAGCTTTTTAGCTATCGATTTGAATGCGAAATATCGATAGCTGCATATAGTT